TGAGCGTGGGAGGAGAGATGGCGGGGGAGAAGCGAAGCGGAGAGGCGGAGAGGGGAGTGAGAAGGGGCCCAGGGAGCCGGGCAGCTCGGGGGCTGCAGCCTTACTGCTCGCGCTGAAGTCGTGGCGGATTCACTCCATCTAGGCCCTTTTCTTGACACGGTGCTGAATCCTTGTCAACAGATCTCCTTTAATAATCTTTACTTCTTCTTTTAAGAAGCAGCAACATACGCTGCGGTGGCGGTGGCGCGGAGTACAGAGCGGCTCACTCATTCCCCGCCGCCATCTTCCTACAGCTATTATTTTAGTATCTGTCACCCACCTAGCAGAAAGAAGGGTTCCCCTAATCCCTGTTCTTCTCAATGTGCTGCATATTGTCATCCCTCCATCCCTTAACCCCATGGTATATGCCCTTAGGACTCAAGAGCTATGAGTGAGCTTCCAGAGGGTGCTTGGCTTGAGTGAGTATGTGTCTAGGAAATAAGCCAACTTTATATGACAGAATATTATATGCAGTATTGCAGAAAAATAAAAAGCTTTGAAGCCCAAGATTCCTTTGATAAAACTTCACTCCTCCAATTGTTAGGATCATCAATTCAAATGAATTAATTTATTCATATAGCATGTAGTATGTTCACGGCACTGCTCTAAGCATTTCACAAATATTAACTCAATCCATGTAATAAATCTATGAATTAAGTATAGTTATTTTTTATTCATTTTGAAGATGTGGAAGCTGAGTTGGGAAAACTAGCCTAAGATCAAAGAAGGCAGTTGTGGAGTGAGATTTGAATCCAACAGTTAGGCTCCAGAGTCCCTGCTCTTAACCCTTCTTCTCTATTCAACTTCACTACTGATTTTTAAAAATTAAAATAAAGATGATAAAATAAGAGGAAATTATATATCAATTCCTTTTTAATAAATTTCATTTAAAATTTGGTAGCAATTTTCCTGCTTAAGGATAGAAAATAGATTTTAAATCTTCTAGAAAGAGTCACTATAGGGCACCTTTTTAATTATATAAATGTAAGTCAGGAATTTGAAATAAAAAATGAATATACATGAGTCCATACTGATACAAATTATTTAATAAATAAATAAGTGAGAATTTGTCTAAATTTTCCAGGCAGAAGAATTCCAAATGATGTATGTACATACAGGCCACCCTAGAGTAAGTGGAGCTCAAATCCTCTAAAGAACATGGTAACTTCTTTAGAGTACATAAAGGAGAAAAAGAGTAATTTTTACAAATGAAAAAAAAAACTGACAAACACTACTTCATCAAATTATCAATTTACTTAAGAGTAATGTCATGTTCATAATACAAATCCATGGAATGACAAATGATATGATATGATATGACATGTTATAATACATGAGAATAGCACTTTACCTATGTGATCTTCCTCCAAGACATACAACCCAATCCAATTATGAGAACATCATCAGACAAATTTCACTGAAAAGCAGCCCCCCAAATGTCCACCAATTAATTCTCAAAGCTGTCACAGTGATAAAAAATAAGAATCTGAAAAACTGTCATGACCTAAAGGAGGTTATGGAGACACAGCATCTAAATCCAATGAGATAACCAAATGAGATCCTGAAACAAAAATAAAGGACACTAGGTAAAAATTGAGAAAATCTGAATAAAACATGGACCTTGGTAATAATGTGTCAACCTTAATTATTACAAGTGAAAAATGTACCCTACTAAAGTTAGTGTTAATAATGGGGGGCGGGGAAGGCTTTCAGTGCATTCCAGGTAGAATGGCAATCATTAATACAAATAATAATAAATTCTAGCAAGGAAAAGAAGAAAACTTGTACTGTTGATGGCACTGTAAATTAGTACAACCTCTATGAAAATCAGTATGGAGGCTTCTCAAAAGACTAGGAATAGAAACAACTTACGACCTAGCTATACAACTTCTCAGTATTTATCCAAAAGAATTAAAGTCAGCATACTATAGTGATATGATACAATGTATACCCATGTTTATTGTGCAATTCACAATAGCCAAGTTAGGCAACCAACCTAACTGTCCATCAACAGTTGAATAAATAAATTGTGGCATATATACACAATGTGGTTTTAGTGAATCATAAAGAAGAATGAAATTGTATAATTCACAATGATGGTACTAAAGAAAAAAATTGTACTAGATAACATCATGTTAAGCAAAATAAGCCAGTCTCAGAGAATCAAGCATTATGTTTTCTCTCCTAMGTGGAAGCTAGAGAGAAAAAAAAASGGAAATTTAGTGGTGCAATCTCATAAAAATAAACCAATAGGGCAGAAGAAGGGGATGATGGAGAGAAAAGAAGTAGTGAAAGGGGAGGTACCAGAGAATGAAATTTACCAAATTGTGTTATGTTCATGCACGAGTATAACACAATGAATCCCACCATTATGTATAATTATAATGCTCTAATAAAAATTTTAAAATAACTAGGACATGGTGGTGCACATCTGTAATCCCTGTGGCTCAGGAGGCTGAGGCAGGAGGATCACAAGTTCAAAGACAGCCTTAGCAATGCCGAGGCGCTAAGCAACTCAGTGAGAGACTGTCTCTAAAATAGGGCTGGGTATATGGTTCAGTGGTTGAGTGCCCCTGAGTTCAATTCTTAGTACACCCCCAAAATTTTTAAATAATAAGGGGAACTGGGAGTGGGATATATGGAAACTCTGTGTACTCTTTTCATATTTTTTTCTATAAATCTAAAATTATTCTAAAATAAAAAGTTCACTTTTTCACTTGCTATTTTCTATAACTATCTGTCTGTTTTTGATAGCAATCCTAAAGAGTGTCAAAAGGTATTTCATTGTGGTTTTGATTATCATTTCCCTGATGACTTAGTGATGGTGAGCATTTTTTCATGTGCTTATTGACCATTTGTATCTTTGTTGGAGAAATGTCCATCCAGATTCTTTGCTCATTTTTAAATCGAATTTCAGATGGATCATTTGTCTTTTCATTATAGAGTTGTAAAAATTTTTTGAATATTCTAAATACAAATTCTTTATCAGGTATGTGATTTGTATTTTATCCCATTTCATGGTTATCTTTTTATTCTATTGATGGTATTTTTTTAAATGTGAAGGTTTTAAATGTTGATGAAGTTCAATTTACCTATTTTTTTCTTTCATTGCATGTGATTTCAGGGCAATATTTAAGACTTTGCCTGACCCAGATATGAAAAAGATTTATTCATTTTTCTTCTACATGTAATTTCAGTTCTTAGATTTAGTTCTATGATCTATTTTGAGTAAATTTTGTGTATATTGTGAGGAAGAAGTCCAACTTCATTATTTTTATGTGGATATCTAATTATCCCAATATCATTTTTGAAAAGACTATTCTTTGCCCCACATAATGAATTTGGTTCCCTTGTAGAAAACCAATTAATCTTAAATGTGAGAATTTATTCCTGTGCTCTCAACTCCATTTCATTGATCTACATATATATCATTATATCAGTGACATGAAGTTTTGATTTCTGTCACTGTGCGGTTAAGTTTTAAAATAAAGAAATATAAGTACTTCATTTTTTTTTCCTTTTTAAAAAATTGTTTTGCCCATTCTAGGTACCATGAGTTTTAAGATAAGTTTGTTGACTTATTCCAAAATGTCAGTTGGATTTTAGTAGAGATTTCATTGGATCTATAAATCAAGTTAGGGAGTTAACAATATTAACAATATTGAGAATGAATTAACAATATTAATATTATATTAACAATATTAAGTCTTCCAATACATGAACATAGATATCTTTCCCTTTACGTAGGTTATCTTTTGGTTTTTTTTAGTAAATTTTTTGTTGTTTTCATAGTATAAGTTTTGTACTTTATTAAATTTGTGTAAATTTTTTTTTTCATTTTTATGCCATTGTAAATGTAAATGCCCTTTAAATTTCACTTTTGGATAATGTTACAGTTTAAATATGAGGTGTCCCCCAAAATTGCATATGTGAGACAATGCAAGAAAGTTCAGAGGTGAAATGATTGGGTTATGAAAGCCTTAATCTAATTAGTGCATTTATACACTATAGAGATTTACTGGACAGTAACTATAGACAGGTAGGGTGTGGCTAAAGGGGGTAGTCACTGGGGATGTGCCCTTGGGGTTTATATTTTGTCACTGGTGAGTGGAACTCCCTCTTTCTGCTTCCTGATTTCTATGCCTAGAGCTGCTTTCCTCCTATATACTCTTCTGCCATGATGCTCTGCCTCACCTTGAGTACAAAGCAATGGAGTTGGCCATTTATGGGCAGAGACCTCTGAAACCATGAGCATCAAATAAATTTTTCTCCTCTAAAATTGTTCATATCAGGTCTTTTGGTTACAACAATGAAAAAGCTAACACAGATAGTCTATTGCTAGCTTATGGGATAGAATTAATTTTCTTTTTTTTTTCCTTTTTTATTGGTTATTCAAAATGCTTTTACTGCATCTATCGAGATGATCATATGGTTCTTATCTTTAAGTCTATTGATGTGGTGAATAATGTTTATTGATTTCCGAATATTGAACCAGCCTTTCATCCCAGGGATGAATCCTACTTGATCATGGTGCACGATCTTTTTGATATGTTTTTGTATATGATTTGCCAGAATTTTATTGAGGATTTTTGCATCTAAATTCATTAGGGATATTGGTCTGTAGTTTTCTTTCTTTGAGGTGTCCTTATCTGGTTTGGGAATCAGGGTGATATTGGCCTCATAGAATGAATT